TTCAATCTTCAAGATTCCGGCGCAGCAGTGCAGGTATCACCATGGAGATGTCCTACACACCGGAATTACAATCGTAGGTTTAATCTTTATTAGTATGTAAATTGTTTTCAACAAAAATATGTTAGTGTGCCGATCTGATATCTATGACCAAATCGGATCAATGTCGCCAGGCTTTAAAAAAAAAAAAAAAAAAACAAACATAATGTACTCTTACCAATATAGTAAGGTTAAATATATGATAAACGATGAGAGAGAAAAAAGGAAATGTAGAAATGAAAAAAACCAAAAAAACAAAAAAACAAAACAAAACAAAAAGGCGATAAGTAACAAGTATCTTGTCCTGTAAAAACACAAAATGTATAACAAACAAAGAAAAGTATGCACGATCCACATAGATCGATCGATATTGAAGAGACTGTAATTTTGTAGAAACGTCGATCGTTTACAGAAAAAACCAAAAAAAAAACAAAAACAAAAAACAAATGTAATCCTAGTTCCTTCATTTATGATTTTCACGAGTATACGATGGATTATTATTCATAAAACTTCCGCATGTGTGTGTGTGTGTGTGTGCGTGTGTGTGCGTGTGATGACGATACATAAAATATATTTTACATAAGATACATAAAAAAAAGAGATACACAAGTATAGATTTGAAAAAAAAAAACAAAAAAAAAAAATTTAGTTTTAATTATGATCATTGTATTTGTTTAATGTGAAATCAAATGATTTATTGTATTTTGTTTCTTTTATTCTTTTTTCTTTTTCTTTTTTCTTTTTTTTTTTCTCAATAGATGTTAATTTTTAGGGAAACTAGGCGACTAATTTGCCTGAGTTTTATAATTAAACATATCCAAAGAATATCTTTTGTGTTCTATGAAACGTGATAAAGGTGAAAATTAACGTTTAATGTTCGAATACATTGATTAATTGTACATTTACGTTGCCATCTTGAATTGTACATTTACGTTGCCATCTTGAATTGTATCTTTACGTCGCCATATTTAATTGTAGATTTACGTCGCCATCTTTAATTGTACATTTACAATGAAATAGAACTTTGTTGTTTGAACATTTACATTAACTCATAGATGAAGAAAATGAAAAAGAAGAAGAAAAAGAAGAAGCAGATGAAGAAGAAGAAGAAGAAGACGTAAAATATGAAAAGGCTAATAATTTAGTAATAGATTGTGGTATAAATGTTGTTTTTTTTTTTTTTTGTTTTTCTCTATAATTTTTACTATATTTTTCTAAAGAGGACAAAAACAATGCGCAATAATAATAATATTAATAATAATAANAAAACAATGCGCAATAATAATAATATTAATAATAATAATAGTAATTAAATATATTTTCTATCGAAAGAATTTTCTCCAGAAAGATTTTATCGATGGTGGTATAAATGTTGTTTTTTTTTTTTTTTTGTTTTTCTCTATAATTTTTACTATATTTTTCTAAAGAGGACAAAAACAATGCGCAATAATAATAATATTAATAATAATAATAGTAATTAAATATATTTTCTATCGAAAGAATTTTCTCCAGAAAGATTTTATCGATGTTTTACAAATCATTTTTATTTTCAAATATTATTTTCATATGATAATTGTTAAGATTGATATCAACAATGTTTAAACTATGTAAGATGTGGTGGTAAAGAAGAATAATTTATGTAAAGATACAAGAATATACTAACAAATTTGCATCTAATTTTTGTAGACCTAAGAATTTTTTTAAAAAAAAAAAAAAAAACAAACAAACTTTAATTGTCAAGTGTTATACTTGGTATACCTATCTTAAAAAAAAAAAAAAAAAAAAAACAAAGAAAGTCTTGTTTATTAACAGATAAAAGAGTTTGTTTTCCAATAAGTACGACGCGTCACACCCCCTTTTTAATAAAAAAAAAAAACCGAAAGATTTATTATTTCAAAAATCAAAGATAAAATACAAAAAAAAAAAAAATACAATACAATACAATAAAAGAACATTTTTTTTTAAACAATTATAACAGTGCCAATTTGAGATCTTTCATATCGCGCAATATACTACGTGATTCAATGTTAATAATAAATGTCAATTTATTTAGGGATAAGAAAATCAAATGAAATACAAAAATGTTCACAGACACACACACACACACACCTAATAATTTCTCTTTTACCATGTGAATTTTGTTAAAGAAAAATGTGTGTTGTATGAGCGATAAGAAAAAAAAAAGAAAAAAATACAAAAATAAGAACAAATTATCGAAAACAATAGTTATACAGTCGAAAATAAGTATAAAGTGTAATATTCTTATAGATTTTTTACTTTTTCTAAATAGAATAAGTCTCTCTCTCTCTCTCTCTCTCTCTCTCGTACTGAACGTTCATTTTTTTTGGTTTTTTTTTTTATAAATTTTGTTCTCAAGATTCTCATAAAAAAAAATTGATTGATGATTAATTTTTGGTGTGAAGTACTTTTTTCTTTTTTTCATTTTTTTTTTTACAAAAGAACAAATGATTAAAGCAACTTTGACAAGCAACTTGCAAATTGTAAATCTTTCAACTTTTGCGAAAAGAAAAAATTGGATTCATCGATTCTTCGTTCCCACCGATCTTCTCTAAATTTCTATGTGTAAATACATATATATATATATATATATATATATATATATATGTACGTATGTATGCAACACATGTATAACAAAAATTTCAACGTTAAAAAATCGTATATCATCGAATAATATAAATAACAAAAATATTTTATCAAATACTTCAAACAATCAAGGAGAAATCATTTTTTTTTGTTTGCACGATCATTGATCTCCTTTCTCTCTCTCTCTCTCTCTCTCTCTCTCTCTCTCTCTCTCTCATTCTCTCTCTTCTATTTTATTAATTTTATTTATTATTCCTTTAATTAATTCAATCTTTTGAGAAGGAAGTAATAATAATATGATTCTGTCATCAAAACTTATACAGTTTTTGAAAACGAATAATGTATTTAAAAAAAACAGAAAAAAAGGAATCCATATTCGAATATTTACAGCTTTTACAATTTTTACAGCATTGTACATAAACAATATTTGTATGAATTGAAATATTGCAAAATTGTTTTTAATTTCATTTGATGTATGTGCATGTAAAAAAGAATTTCTGTAAAATTCAGGTGGGCTCTTAGAAGAGGTTCATGTTGTTTTTTTTTTTTACAGATAATCCAATAATCTTTGTCAGAAAAGGTCAAAGAACGTTAGGTTAATTAATTGAACTTTGTTATTTGAATTTTGTAATTTCAACTAGAAACAACGATCGACGAGTAATTATATTTCATTTTACTGTAAACAATTGTTAAAAATATTTCAAAAATGTCTCTCATGATGATTGATATTATTACTCCCATGTATCAATTTATTTGAAATATATATATATATATGTATAATTATACTACACATATATACATATTACACGTATGTGTAAACACGCTATACACACGCACATAATTACACGTGTATAATCCGAATGCACAAGTCAACTTGCACATGTAGTCAATTATTTTACATGTATTTAAAAAAAAAAAGATGGAAACCCCACGCGATTATGTATGTGTATTATGTATATATGTATGCATGATAATATGTATTGAAATATTAAAGAGAGAGAGAGAGAGAGAGAGAGAGAGAGAGAGAGAGAGAGAAAGAGAGGAAAAGAATGCATGCATTTTTGCAAAAATTTATTGTAGTACTTTGATGATACTTCCAATAATTTTAATTGAAGGGATTCAAAATGGAGAAATAAATGTCCTCGAAGAAAATGTTTGATCTTTTGTCTCTTTGTATTATATAATATTAATTAATTTTTATTATTATTATTATTATTATTTACAGTGATGTATGTAGAGATATTTTAATTATATAAAAAAATTATGTTTTGAAATAATTTTGAATGTACATAATTGAAGAAAAATCATCTATACAGTAATAATATATACAGTCATATAATCAAAAGTAATGCACACAAATTGTATGTGGGTATGTGTTTGTTAGTGTTTTGTCGTTTTATCATTGAATTTCTTTGTCGTTTACAATTATATCAATAATTCATAAAATGAGATCATTTAGCAATCATTTTTATTTTTCTCTGACATGTGTAACCTTTGCTTTCTGTCGTCACGTATCATAATGACCGATTAAAATTGTTTTGACGATGAAGTTTCTCAAATGGGTCGATGATTACTGCACTGACCCATCGCGAGTATCGCCAATACCAAGAAATTTATTTTATCAATGTCCGAAATCCTGAACTGAACATTTTGATTAATTATTTTCATTAAATAATACTTTTTCTTTTTTTTAATCTTTTCTACATATTCATCACATACACACATAACTTTGATGTATTTATCAATGTCTAAATTATATTCTGTAATAAATAGATACAAATAATACACATTAAATGTCAATGAAATATTACGAATTTTTAATAGAATTTAGATATTTTTCAAAGACACATTTTTATCAAGTACTGCAAGATGTTTAATTAAAAAAAAAAATCTATAAATGTATATCATTACGTTTACGTCAGAGACTGTAATTAAATTTAGATAAGAATCCAAGGATTTTATAATTAATGCCACTGACGAGAATTATTATTCTTTACAAGAGATAAGTATTAACATTTCTTAATAATACTTATATAATTTTTCCAACACATACATTTTATTATCATTATTTGTAATATATGTTAGTATCCATTAATTAGTAATTAAATTGCAAGTATTACAGTGCCAATATATTTTGATTTAGTTTTTAAGTCAAAAGAATTGGTACATAGATTCATAATAATTAATATCTTCATTTATTTATTTAAATAATGTATGTGTATTCAATATCCATGTATACCATTTAAATAATATTTAAACAATAGTACATTTATTATCTTTACAATTCCGATTGTAAAGATAAGTATAAATATTTATTTTATTTWATTTCAAAGATATAAATTAAAAAATGTAAAAAAAAATATTTCTCCGATCAGTTTCGAACACGAGTTTACTAATTCTTAGTCGAACACGTTACCAACGTTACCAAACGTAGGAAACATAATTAATGTAATTTAAATGCAGCCTCCTAACACAGAAAGTTCATAAAACGGCCGCCAGATGTAAGTGCAATCGGTGTTAGGATCTAAACAATTAGTCTAGTAAATAATTTGCATTAATTTTGATAATGGTCGATATTTTTTGGGTGTTTGCATTATTATTACATTTTTATCGATCATTGGTGTTAAGCTGATCATAGAATTAAGAACAAACAAAAAAATGAATAATTAAATGCACGTATTAAGAAAGGTGTTGGTGAATCTCATCGTTCTTGCTGTTCTTTTGGTGATACTTTATTGTTATCAAACACCATCAAACGTTTCACGTTGGATAGTGGGTCAAGTTGAAAATCGAAATGTTGAAAAATCTACTAACGATGAATTCATTTCAACCACCTTAAAGGAGACCAACGATATTTTTATCAACATAACCTCAACGACAATCACTTTTCCAAATGCTATCATAACAAACACATATCAAAATCAATTGTATTACAATGTTTGGTGTATATTCACGAAAGTTGGTACGAATTCACCGATGCGAACAAAATTTCACGTTTTTACGAAATCCTTGCTTGCATTTGCTACAGTGGACATCGCTTTTCATGTGATAATTGATGATGATAGTTATACCATTGCTGATACCATAGTGCAAGATGTTATGTCTACTACTAACAAAACAATGAAAGTAAGGTTATATCTCATTTGTATTATTTCAATTTATAATTAATTTGTTTTGTTTAATTATTATTTTCATTATAGGTGCAATATTATAACGTACACGAACAAGCTCGACAGTTGGAGGACATAGTTTCAGTCATGTCACCGCATTTCAGTAGCAAACCAGGGACGTACTACTCAGATGCACTTTTCTTTCTATCTCTCGGTTTGCATAGAATAGCACCACCTGATCAAAAATTAGCAGCTATGTTTGATGCAGATACTAAGTTTCGTAAAGACATTAAAGAATTGTTTAAAGAATTTGATAACTTTGGTAAAGAAGCTCTCTTTGGTTTAGCACCAGAATTAAGTCCTGTATATAGGCATGTTTTGTACTTATATCGTAGCAGACACCCAAAGACCATGTTCGGTGAATCACCTAATATGGGTGGTTTTCCTGGTTTTAATAGCGGTATGGTCCTATTTCATTTAGAAAGATTACGTAAGTCTTCCTTGTATGAAAAAATTGTTACTAAAGATAGCGTTGATGCTATGACTGCTAAATATCATTTTAAGGTTAGTATTAAATCCACAAAATATTCTATATGGGAATACTTTTTCTATGATAATAAAGAATTTGTATTTATTGGTTTCAGGGACACCTGGGGGATCAAGATTTTTATACAGTATTAGGTATGGAACGTCCTGAATTAATTTATACCATTGATTGCGGTTGGAATAGACAATTGTGTACATGGTGGAGAGATCGTGGTTACTCTGATGTATTCAATAATTATTCTCTGTGTAATTCAGAAACTAAATTATGGCATGGGAATTGCAATACTCCTATACCTGATCATTAAGTATTACATATTATTAAATAGTGCCTTCTATTAGAGGGACCAGAAAGTAATCTACAAATATCCAATTTTTGATATTTTTATCAAAAACCGATTGATTTTTGTCAATTTGGTATTAGAAGTTTTGCATACTGTATGAAAAGAGGTTATTGATTACTGGGGTGGTGATTACATCATTGATTAAAAATAAAAACTTGTTGGAACAAAATATATTTGTTTAAATTTAAGGTTAGAAAGTAACATTACTTTCCGGTCCATCTATTATTCAAAAGATTTTGATAAAATATTGCGAATAGTATTGATAATAATTATTTGTATAATCTGTGATAGAAAGTAAAGTATATTTTTTGTTCTTGTCAAGTTGCAATATTATAATCAAGAAACTTTCAATAATATTAAATGAAATGAAACCATTTTTAAATACGCAATATTTAAATCTTGCAATTTTACAGTAATGTTAAATTATTAATAGAATAATTATTGTATTTTTATGGTGCATACAACAGAGTATTTATCGTGTTAATATTTCTTTTCTTTTTATAAGTATGTAATACTTGATATTTAATTATATTATAATCTTATATATTAGGAGGACCGAAAAATAATGGCGTCGTTACCACGCATGTCAAATTATTTCCAATATTTTAAATCAAAAAACTGATTGATGATTTTTATTGTTAAGATATTAAACATTTGTTTGTTCATATCAGATAAAAAAAAAGGTTCTTGATAACGTGATTAATTAATTTAATTAAATAATTTAATTATTGTGATTAACACTTTAATGGCCGCTCACACAACATGCGTATGATAGCCGGAACATTGACCATTATTTTATTTATAACTTTATATATATAAAATTAAATTTGTTTTTTGTTTTATATTAATTTTTTCGTTAATGACAGTAAAGTTTTTTTAAAATTAATTCTTGAAAAATATTACCGGGCCCCCGACGACGTTTTACTGCGTACACGTGCGGCCCCATTAAAGTGTTAATTATAAAAATTTGTTTGAAAAATTTATTCGTTTGAAATTTTGAGGTTAAAAAACGACAATACTTTCCGGTCGACTTAATATAATATTTTGTATCTGTTATTTTTCTATAAATTGTTAATAATTAATGAACATTTTTAGACGACTGTATTAAAATACAGTTAAGCTAAGTTTTAATAAGATAATAGGTAACTGTATTTAATAGCTGTATTTTTTTGATAGATGAAAATACATTTTTTAAATTAGAAAATATTAATTAGAATTTAAGCACATAGTTGCAATAAAAAAAAAAAAATCAATTAGTTGAATAGGTTTTACATTAATGCTGTAAAATTAAAATTAACTGAATCATCAAGTTCTTGTATAGGCTGATAAAAAAGGAATTATGTTTGATATGCATTTAAGAGGAAGTCAAATGATGATGAATACTTAACAGATTTGAATGTTATTATTTAACTTGGTGTATAAATTAAAATATATTTAGTACAATAGTTAATAATATTGACCAGATTTATCAGACTGAAAAATGTTGAAATTAAAAACTTGACTGCAATATTTATCTAACTTGAAGAATTTTTTATTGAACAAAATAAAATAAAATAAAAAAAAAACAAAAAATGAACCAAAATGTATGCTTATTTTGTCAAGTATAAAACAATGGAGGTTTAATTAATCCAGGGCTTCTTAAATTGTTTTATTTAGCAACATTTTCTATTCGAGGAAATATATTTGTAATCTTGGGTTTCCATTTTAAGTACTGTAAATTAACTGACGTAATATATGTTTAGTATTATGAAATTAATTTTGAATTAATGTTTGTTTGAATCCTTTGAAAGTAAATAAAAAAATAAATCAAATTGTAGTAGGTGAAAAAATTTAATTTTTCGTTAATTCTTGTACAGAAATTGTTTTAATTTTGTGAAAATTTGTGAAACTGTAAAATTGAGAAGCCCTGGAATAATTCAAAATATAATTTATTATATTGAATAGATTTGTGAATAATAAAATACACGACTTACGTATTTAGAAATGATTTGATCGATGATATTTCGATTAGAAAATGAAAATAATAAAACATCAGAATAATTTTATAACAAAAATAAAAATATAAATAATAATAATAATAATAATAATAATCGAGTAATAACAGAAACGTTATATATTCTGTATACGAAAATGTGTTAAGGTATACATCATACTACAGAGTTTGTAATTTTAGTATCATGTTTACAATAAAAATAATCTTTCATTTTTGTTTTTATTATTTTTGTATTATCTCGCGTTATGCTGTAAAAGAAAATGTTCAAAAAGTATGTTTTCTTTTTGTTCAATTTTAATATAAACGTATTCTATCGGTTTCGTTTAACTGTTTTGTCATAAATCGACTGACCAGACTTTCTTCAAAGACTATATACTTCGTAATTATTTAAATAACATTCATTCTATAAATCTAAATTCGTTGTCGATATTGTAGAAGAAGAAGAAAAAGAAGAAGAAGAAATGTTACCTTTGGTCCCGTTTATAGAAACTTAATAAGTTAGATTTAATTCAAAGATTTAGATATTAATAATAATAATAAAAATAATAACACAATAATAATAATAATAATAATAATAATGTTAGCCAACACACACACAAAGTTGCTATTAGTATTTTCAAATATCATTCAGCCATAATGAAACTGGCTTTGGTGCATTTATTTATTTATATATGTTTTTATTTTTAAACAAATATGACTTTTTGACCAAAGCTAGAACCATGAATGATCTTGTAAAAAACTTGATAAACTTTGTTTTAAGTTCTTCATTATTTTTTTTTTTTTTTATAACAATTTAAATGATCATAGAGATCACACAACAAGCATTGATTAACCTTTTACAAATAAACATTCCCAAACTCGATCTAACGATTTAATATTTGACGCAATTAGCAGTACATATATGTATATACATGCTCGGATCATATTTTATGACAACATACCAGTGTTATCAGGCTTTCTGTACAATATATTTACACATAGTTTAATACGTAGAATAACTTTCATCTATTAGAAAGAAAGAGAAAGATTTAAAGAACAAATCAACTTAGAAAAATAAACCAAATGAAAATAATAGTAATAATAATAATAATGGATAATTATTGAAAGAACAAAAATATTACAAATGGCACTGTATATCTTTCAAATAAATGACAAACCTTTTTTTGTTTTATTTTAATTCAATTCAACGGAATCTGTTCATTGTTTTAAATATTTTATTAATGAAAAAAAAAAAAGTAATTGATATTCAACTTCTCTTTCTTTCTTTCTTTTTGTTTATAGATGAGTAGATTAACCCTTTGCACTCGGTAGATGAACCCCTTGCGGCAGATTTAAGTGGAAAGTCGAGAGGCGCTGATACGGCGCCCGATGGCTGATTTTAAGTCTTTTGTTAACTCTATCTGCTTATTA